TTGTACCAAGGGTGAAAAAAGCTGGTGTAAATGGCAGTCTGATACTATTAAGTCTGCCATTTTTAATCGTTTAAATATTTTTTTTAAATTATTGGCTCAGGCACAAGTTACACTTGTATACTAGCATTGTGCAAAATTCCAAACTTTAATATTGATAAAATCTTGAGATATTTGTGTTTTTGGGACATTAACTATTTCACGTTTTTATATTGAGTCAGTAATTATTTTTTTGTAAATTAAAAAAATATTTACAATACGTTTTAAATTTTTATCTATTGTGCTAGTAATTTATAAAAGTTATTTATTATGTGTAAAATATAAGAAAATAGAAATAATGGCTGGGTACCACCTGGGTCACCTTTTTTTTTTATTTTTTTTTAATACGCATATATAATATGCGTGTGTATATATTATATATCAATGCGTATATATTATATATCAATAATATATTATATAACTAGATGTCTAACTTCGATCTAAAAAGTGAAGCCCCTTTTTACAAATGGCGGATTAAATTTGTAAACAAATATTTTTAACTTTTCTTTTCTTAAATGAAGTAAATATACCTTAAATTTAAATACTATTTACGTAAAAGAGTTAAGCGGAAATTATAATACTTGTAAAATAATAATTTATGATTCCTTAATTTATTTTCGATTACAAAGGGATTTAAGTTTTGAATAGAAAATAAAAACGACAGACGCTTTTGAAGCATTTTTATGAATCAAAATACTTTTTAATAAACATTCATATAACATTCATCAAGGTTCATAAAAAACTTTTATAAGTATTTTATAATTATTAAAATTTGTTTTTGAATTTTCTTTAATTTATAGGGAACTTTTGACTTGCATTTTTAACTTTTTCACACTTCGGCTTAAGGTTTTGCCCTTTTTACAAATGGTGGGCTATTGTTATGAACAAATAAAAGCGGCTTCAATAAAATCCCACAAGTTAGATATGTAGTTATATAATATATCATTGATATATATTCATTGTCAACAAATCTTTATTACGTAATCACTAAGAAATAAAATATAATTTTTAAAATATTTATGCAGTTGTCGTTAGATACAGAAGACAACTTAGAAAATCATTCTAACCAATTTTAGTTAACACTAAAAACTAGTTTTTCATTTCTTTTTTGCTAATTGTGACTGATCCAGGTGGTATGGGGGTATGCACCCCACCAGAATTTGAAAATCCAAAAAATACCTTAGAAATTAAGGACCTTTATTTTTTTAGGAAACACAAATATAGTACAAAATACAAAATCCTCCCAAACTTCCCCCCTTCTTAACCCTTCAAAAATTCTTGGACCTGTCGTTGTTGAAAATACGCTTTTTATGCGAAAGTCATATCAAAGACAAAAAAAAACTCATTTTTCTTTTCACCAAGTATTTCAGTTTTTTTTTACAGGCTGCTAAGAGTTTTGTTTAGTCTTTTAAGACATCCTTGAATTTCTTTTATTTGAAACTCGACTTGAACGGTTATGTAGTATTTATACTTTAATTTTAACTATTTTTTTAAATTATGATGATTTTATTGTACATTATTTATGTTTTTTTTTAATTTCATGTTTTTATTATAGATAATCCAATTTTTATAAAAATCTTTATGAGAAACTCATTTTTTTAACATAAGTAAGACTTTTTAAAGAACTTCAATTAACTTATTATTTCAAAATTAATCAAAACTACCTAGCAACAGTAACCTAGGTATAAGTTTCATTCAAATAGTTATCCAGGATTTAGTTACCTTCAAATAGTTACCTAGGAATTAGATCCCATTCAAAAAGTTACCCAGATATTTATTAACTTTGTTAATGTGGTGGTTATTTATATATAGGTAAAATTACAAATAATAAAAACACGAATAGCTAAACATCAAATAAATAAGACAGAGGCTTTTGGAGTGGTAAAGCGGGAACAAAACTGAAAATAAACAAATTATTGGAATAAACAAAAAACTGAAGCATTAATTTATACGTTTTGGAATAGATTTTTTATTCTTTGCTACCAATTCATAAACTTCAGAATCGATTCTGAAGCTTCAGAATCAATTTTTTAGATTCAGAATCAATTCAAAAGACTCAGAATCAATTCAAAAGGTTCATGATCAATTCAGAAGCTTCAGAATTGATTCAGAAGCTTCAGAATCAATTTACTAAACTTTAAAATCTTTTGAAAATGCTTATTCATACTATACTATATATTCATACATTTAGTATATAAAAAAAATTATTTTATATAGCACTCAGTTAAAAAGTTAAAAACGATTTTTTGCAATAGTTAACTTTAAATTTCATTGGTCGTTTTTTTGGTTACAAATGTTACTTTTAGAGAAAAATTCGCTAAATTTTGAAAACCTTTGAAAATGATCACGGCTAGTGGGTTTTTTAGTTTCTTAACGTCCCTTAGAGTCTTGATCTGTTCATTGTAGAGACCATCAAACATTCAAAAGAGTTTTATTCGGTTGGTTAGTTCTAAATAATTCGGAGGATTACATAAGTACATTTTTAGAATTCCTATAGTTTGCCATTAGTAATATTGCAAATAAGAAGATCATTTCTTTCAAATAGTGGGCAAGTGAACATGTTTACAATAAATGGAGTTAACGAGCAAAATGGCGACAGCATAGCTGAAGGCGTTTTGGAAGGTTCGTATAACTGTTTCTTTATATTTGTTGTAAATATTTATTTTAAGAGGATTTAGTTCAATTCGGCTGAAGCTAAATTATGATGTATATATGCATATGTATATAAAATAGTTAAACTCTTTTGTATGTGAATGACGTATATAAAGTATAAAGATATCCATGACGCGAAGAAAACTTTATCTCTTATATTTTTCTCATAGCTTTTATTTAATGGTGTAGTATGATGTTTTTTCCTTCAAAAAACAATAAATTTTTAGTTTATTTGCATTTCTTTACAATGCAACTATCTAAATTTCAAGTGCAAACTCAGTTTTAAAAACATATTACTAAAGTACACAAGAAAAGTGAAAACATCACATGAAGCCATTGTTTTAATCTTTCCAAGCATATAATATAAATATTACATGCTTGTAATATTTATATTACATGCTTAATGCAATTTGTTGTTTGAGTCATTTTGTTCTTTTGTTATGTTGTTTATTACTAATCATTTAAGTATTGGGTCGTCCATAAATTACGTCACACAACGTTTAACAATTTTGACATCCCTTTCTACTCGTCGCAACGTTATAGCTCTTTAGTAACAGGTCCCGTGCGAGGCGTCGCAAAACCACTAACCTTGAGCGTGACCTTATTTATAGAAAACCTCTATTGCACTTTTAAAAATAACAAGTTCGATGTTAAAATTTTAATGCGAGATAAACGCGAGATAGGCAAAAAATTGAATTTGGTTAAACTCACTCCTCTAGACTCGTTTATTTTTAATTGATTTATCGAATTAAAAATTTTATTTTCGTTTAGTTTTAAATTAGTATAAATAATAATAATTACAATAATAATAATAACAACAACAACAATAATAATAATAGTAGTTTTAATAATATAGGTAACTATTAAATAATTTTAAAGTATACTTTTTATAATCTAGTTATTAAATAATTATTAAAAATATATATAATTTAATAATATAGTAATCATCAAATAATTATTAAATATATATTTTAATCATAATCGTTGATAAGGTCAAAAAAAAGTTTAGATATTGTTTATAAACGTGACCTACAACATTACTTTTATTGAGATTAAATTAAGCTTTAGGCGCCATAGGTATGCCATAGGTATGCTTAAGTCTTGAAGCATTGATTGTTTTATAAGAAAAACTTTTAAGTGTTTAACTCGATTATAAATTTTAATAATAATAAGAATTTTGTTCACAGTTTTTATATTTTTAGGAAAATCCTTTTTTTAAATGTCGATAAAAGTCACGAGAATTAAAAAATTATAAAAATACGTGTAAATAAATTTTTGTGTGTAAAAATAACTTATTTAATAAATTAAGTTATATATTCAATAAACTCATTTACTTATTTAATAAACTCATTAACTTATTCAACAAATGCAAATTATTTGCATCATGCAAGACACTAATATTAATTATCTAATTTAGGAAACCTACTTTTTTTTTTTTTTTTTTTTTTTACTTTTTTTTTTAGTTAAGTGAGCTATTTGTAGAGGTGAGAAAAAACCGAATATCCTGATAAATTCAAATTCGGATTTTTAACAAAAACTAAACTGGATATCCGGTCTAGATTTTGCTCACCCATAGGTGAAAGTTCTAACCTAAAACCGGTTAACCGGTCCTGTTTGTTAAAATCCAAATCCGATTTTAACAAACCGGACAGGATATCCGCTTTTGCTCACCCCTAGCTATTCGACAAATGTTAGTTTAATTTTTGTAAAACAACTTAGTTTTCATACTTAAAACAAAACTTTTAGACACTATTAGTTACTAAGTTTTATAGTTATCATTTTAAATTATTGCAAATGTTCATTCTGTAAATTTTTATAGATTTTGTTTTAAAAACAGTGATCACTTCTGATCACGTGATCACTTCTGCAATTCTTATTCTTTAATTTTTCAAAATTCATAAAACACACAATTCTTATTTTTATTTGTAAGGTATCCTCTTTGCGGTAAAGTTTGTGCCTAGATATGTACGTCGGTGACAAAGTTTGAACTTAGATGTGTATTTATGTCTACGACAAAGTTTGACACTGAACAAATTGTCAGTAATAAAGTTTGAGAAAAATTATACTATTATTGACAACAAAGTGAAAAAATAAATATACGAATTTTTTTTTTTTTTTTTTTTTTTTTTTGTAGTTATTTTAGGTGCTCCCAGAAGTCCTAACGGTCTTATCACAGAGCACCGCGGGAGAGCATTTAACAGGAAGTTCACGCCTCCTTCCTTAGCAATGTCGCTTGTTGGGCTAGAACCTCGCACCTCTGGCCACTGCGCCACGGCTGCTCAATAATAAAAAAAAGAAAGAATAAATATAAAAATTTACAAATTAAAAAAACAAAATTAAAGAATGTATTAAATTACTTTTTGCGTTTAAAAAAAAATATCTTTGTTTCGTTTATTCATAATGGAAAGTGACCTTTGGGTGTAAATGTTTTTAGGATTACTTTTTTGAGACACGTGTTTTTTTCGAGTTACTTTAAAATTTCTTTACGATTGAAGACAGAAATTGCAGTATAAGTCATCTTGCCCCAGTCATGTGACTAGATGACAACTTTAAGAACTTTTTATTTTAATTTTTATTTCAAATTTTTCTACATGCAAACTAAAAATTCATGCAGGCAATGATTCGTTTCAATAACATAAACACACTGACAACGTTTTATTGCTTCATGACATGATAGTTTTGCAATAACTCAAAACGTTCGCCATCTTGCCCCGTCTTTCCCTATCGTGTACCGTGTTACATCTTTTTACTTTAGAAAGGTATTTTTTATGACTATTTAGAAAGATACTTTTTATGACAATGTAACTACTAATTGTATAGGTTTTTGTTGTTTTTCGTAACATACAGAAGACTTGTTATAAGTATAAATAACAATAAGACATTCGATTTATATATTTATCTATACACCTATGGCAAGGCTTGTATGTTGGTAAATTTTTACAATAATGTTGATTAGTAGGCTTCATCATGTCGCGCTGAATACAACATCTTGTGTTGAAATTTTCATCATCTACATCACGTGACTCTAAAGAACATATTTTATTTTTGCATCGTTAGAATTACATAAAATATAAATATTAAGTCACATTTTGCAACTATGAAACCTAAACTGCTTTGTGTTTATTTTATTTATTTTTTTATTTTTGCGTTAATAAAACAGTTGCATGATCTCGCAATGTAGGTTGTACGCATAATGCTACCGCATATTGTTTAAGCACTAATTTATGTTCTTTAAACTTTTTAGTTATTTTATGTTTAAAAAGTGTAATTATGCGGGATTTATCCCGCTTATAACTATTTTTATTGTATAAATATATTATTTAATACACATTGATTCAGTTAAATAACTCCAATATAAAGCAATTTATGTTAAGCCGAAAAAATGATAGAACAAATACATTCAAAATATATTAGGAAAAACCGTTAAATCTGTTATTCCGCTGTATTATTAAATTCGCTCGCAAGGCTTTAAAAGTAGTCTCATAAAAAGTTTTGTTTCAGAAATGTTTTGAAACAACGCCTAAAAAAGACCAGATTTAGCCAAATAAAAAGCCACTGGGCCTAGGGCAACCATAACCTTAAATATTGTAGGTTAATACCAGTGATATCTTTAGTCCAAACACTTTCTTTTAAAAATTAGCCAAGATGTTCAAAAAAATTTTTATAGGTTTCTACTTTAAAAAAAGAAGTCCTTAATAAAAAAAATTTATGCTTTAAACTTTTAATTATACTTAGTAGTAAATTTTGCAGTTAAAAAATTGTTTAATAAAGTTAATCATAATTTTGAAAATTTGTCATACATTTAAAAGTTAATCATTCCTTTAAAAGTAAATCATACCTTTGAAAGTAATTCATACATTTGAAAGTTAATCATACCATTGAAAGTTAATCGTACCTAAGATTGAAGTTTGAAACATTTTGATTAATTTTTTTGATTTTCAGTTTTATTAGAATTCTAAAAAAGTTATAAAAATACTATAAATTAATTTAATGCATTTTTGTTAAACAATCAATGAAACACCCAATAAAGACTTTAATACCCTCAATTTGAGTGGACTTGATTAAATAGCAAAAACCTGGGGTAAACAAAAATTAATTAAACAAAAAATTTCAAAATCTACTTTTAATGTTTTTATTATACTTTTATTATATGTACTTGTCTTTGCAATGTATAAAGGTAATGGTAAAACAAAGAAATGGTTATGGTCAGTGACGGATCCGGAAATTTACAGTGGGAGTGATGGTGGGGGGGGGGGGGAGATGGGAGATGTTTAAATATTTTTGTATTTTTATATCGCATTTTCGTAAAAAGAAATACTTTCATGCATTTATTAAAAGTAACACTTTTTATTTTATATAAAAAAATTATAATTTCTATTTTAAGATAAAAATGCCGAGATTCAGAGAAATAACGACTATTCCATTGATGACGATGCAGAATTTCAGAAAAATACCGACAGTTTAATAAAAAACAATGCAGACTTTCTGATAAACAATGACTTTTTAATGGATGAAGGTGCAAAACTTCAGGAAACAAGCGACAATTTAATAGATAACAATACACAGTATCTCAGAAATAGCGCTAATTTATTTAATGACTGTAAAGAGTTTAAAAAAAAAAACTATGCTGAAAAAGAATGGTATGAAATTTATAACAAAGTTAAATCACTCATTCAGAGAGGAGATGAACTAAGTAAAAATAATATTTATGAAGCAACTTATGTTTTAGAAAAAATCCAAAAACATACTTCATCAATAATGAAGAGTGAGGTTAAACCTTTAAATAATTCCAGTTTTGTTAATCGCATTAAAAACGTTATTGAACAAACCGCTTCTGAGCACAACAAAGAAGTTATATTTGAATTTTTATATTTATGTTTACGTGGTCATTTGTTATACGAGTTAGAAGATTACGAAGAAGCACTAGAATGTTACGAAAAGTTTGAAAATTTATTACCTGAAGACCTTTTTAAAATGAATGTAAAAAGAGCCAAAGGAGACTGCCTTAGAAAACTTAAAAGGTATAAAGATGCTCTGAAAGAATACAAACAAGCTTCAAAGGTTGAAAACGACTACTATACCGTTAAAATTGATAAAGCGTTATTATACAATAGCCGCGGTTTACTATATATGGATAATGAAAAATACTACAAAGCTCTTTTTTACTTTACAAAAGCTTTAAAATTAAATGAAAACCCATTATATTTTTGCAATAAAGGTATTGTCCTTTACAAACTTGGTAAAAATGCAGATGCTTTAAATGCCTTGGAAGATGCACACAAACTAATTCAACAAGATGAACTAACAGATAAGAACATGTTGTATATTAACAATATTCTTAATACGTTTTTTAAAGTTTGGAGTTGTAACGAACAACTTCATAAATTAATTAGCGAATTTATGAACTTGAAAATGGCTTCAGAAAATTGTATTGTTCAGTCAATTGGCAAACATAGAAACTCTATCACGTCTGAACAAAGTATGGAAGAATCAATAAATAAACGAAGAAGTTCGATAATATCTGATCCAGGTGTTGAAGATTTGTCTAGCAAAAATCGAAGTTCTCCTAGTTTGGAACAAAGTATTGAAGAATCAATTAGAAACCTTAAAAACTCGTATGAGCAAAGTGAAAAAGAATTAAAGAACGATACAAGAAACGAAGTTGAAGATAAAATAAACTCTTTAGTTCTTGAAAAAAGCACAGAAGATCGAATTAGAAATCTTATGTCTGAAAATATTATCGAAGAATGCAGTACGTTCATAAAACTTAATGAAAAATTTCTCAGCACACTTATTACAATTCTAAACCAAGATAACGATATCTGTTCAGATGCGTTTCAGCAAAGCAAAACATATGAATCAAAAATGAAAAAAAAATTTAAAATGATTTCAGACAGGTACACACAACTTGATCTCAGTGACAAAATAATGTATAATATGAACGCGGTTGTGACTTATATCTCTCATTTTAACACACAACTTGAAGAACAAAGAACCAAATTAGAGGAATACATTACTCAAGTGGATAGAAATATTAAAGGAACATTAAAAGAATACAATAATGTTCTAAATAACAACCTTGATACCGGGCTTTCTGAAGAAATAAAGACGAAAATCACAGAGTACTACAAAGCTTTTGTTGGAACTGTGTTATCAGCATACTGTTCGGCTCAAATAATGAACAGAAAATGGGTAGAAAAACGAAAGAACCTCATGCTTTTGTTTATTTCTGAAAGAACCACTGAAGGTTCAGGTAGAACTATTGAAACGTTAGAGGAACCATTAAAATCTGCTCTCTCCGGTGTCGTTAGTGTTTTTGACAAAATTGGTAAGTATGACGACAATGTTACCTATGGTAGATCAAAACTTGCAAATGCCTACGATGAACTAAATACTCTCTTATCAGAGGACATTTTAGAGGTTGTAAAAAATCAAAATAAACAAAAACAAATTTCAACTATAACAATGGATGATTTGAATACTTTACCAGACCCATTCCTAAAAAAGGTTAGTTGTTGCACTGGATTTCAAGACAGCAAAGTTGAAGTGTTTTTAAATAATACAATGTATTTTTCAGCTGCTGAGAGACTAGGTTACAAAGATGCGCATACTCTGCTTAAAAAATATGTTAAATCCAATGAATACAGAAAAGATGAATTAAAAACTTTGACAAGAGAACTTTGTGAAGTTCAACAAATCAAGCATGCAAAAGTAGTACCAAAAAAAGTTGTAAAAAATAAAGGGTATCCAGAGAGGTTAAAAAACTTAAAGGACGAAAAATTTCAAAACAAAGAGTTTAGTGAATCAAAAAAAATAATTAATAGCTATGAAACTAGCAATGGTAAAGAAACCACCCCGTACCATAAATACTGGTACCAGGATAGTAAAGACGCTATGGACCTTATATTAGAGTTACGGATTGAGAAGACAAAGTTTAAAGACGTAAAAAAAAAAATATGCCAACGCGCAGTTGAAGGCTATTGGAGTCAAACCAGCACCCGTTTCAATCACAAATCATGTTTACAGTTATTTAACGAAAAATACTTGCAACAAAAACTACTAAAGAGAAATCAAAGCCAGTTACAAGATGAAGAAATTGAGGAAGTGCAGATGGCATTGTTTAATTTTATGTGCACTGCAATAGTGAACAATGAAATGAAGAACCTAGATTGTATTACAGGTTTTGCCAAGGATTACAATAAGTTACTGGAAAAAATTGCTGAACAACATCCGCAATATTTTGTTCATGAAAAAATAGCAAAAGCAGCTTTTACCTCAGATGTAAACTTGCAAACTGAAGTTCTTAGCAAGCTCGAAGAAACAAATAATGGTCTAGACAATGAAATTGTCAGAGATAACTATAATGATGGATGGTATCAAGAAGGAACAAATGATGTTATGGAAAGATTGTTTTATAAAAGTAAGGAAAATATAGATCAGCTGTTAGAGTTTAAACTAGAGGTTAAACTATGTAGAAGAGCAATTAAAGGATACTGGAATGAATCCAACACACTTTTTGCACCCAAATCTTGCAGAGAATTGTTTGAAAAAAAGTACCTTCTGTCAAAGCTTAAAAAATTAAGCCAAAGTGAAATATTGGATGAAGAAATTGAAGAGTTGCAAATGGCAATGTTTAATTTCATGTGCGCTGCTATAGTGAATTCTAAAAACAAGAATGTAAACTGTATAATAGGCTTTGCAAACGAATACCCAGATTTACTTAAAAAAATTGCTGATCAGCATCCAACATATTTTGTTAACGAACAGGTGGTGAATATTGCTTTATCTACAGATGAAAAATTACAAGCTAAAGTAGTTAGTCAACTAAATGAAGCCGATAATGAACAGGAGGAAAATATATTTTTGTACGATCAAGGTTGGTATGAAGAATGTAACGAAGCGATGGATCAGCTCGTTAAACTACGTCTTGAGAAATCTGGTATCAGACATGCTAAAATAAAATTATGCAAACGTGCTGTTAAAGGTTTATGGAAAGAATCTAGTTTACAAACGGATCGCAAATCCTGTAAAGAGCTAATTGATAAAAAGTATTTGCTGTCTAAACTAAAAAAGGTAGACCAGAGCATTATATCGGACGAAGAAATAGAAGAGGTACAAATGGCATTGTTTAACTTTATGTGTACATCGATAGTTAATTATGAAAAGAAAAAAATGGATTGCATTGCGAATTTTGCAAAAGATTATAAAGAATTAGTGGAAAAAATTGCCGAGGAGCATCCAAAATATTTTGTCAACCGACGAGTAATAGAAGTAATATTATCAGCTGATACCGAGTTACAAAGTAAAGTACTCCGTAAAATGAACTTTTAATTTAATTAATGAATGCCACATGCATATATAAGCACAAGACATTTAATCTCTTTTTTAAAACTTTTTTTTATTCTTTAAGATAATTTTGAATAAAAGTATAGAGTTTCATCTATTTAAGCTATTGTAATAGTATAATTTTTATTTCGCCTTTGTTTTATTTTATTTGTTTCTAAACGTTTAAATATATCGATAAATGTTTTTTTGTTTTTGTAATTGTTTATTTAGTTAGAAAAATATCTGAAGTTAATTGTTTTTGTTTCATTAACAATTGAATAATTTTTTGAATCAAACAAAGCAGCTTTTTTTATTGTTCATATGTGCCGTACCTACAAATACCTATCAAACGTTTTTATATAAGGTAAACGAATTTGCCGAAATTGTTAATAAAATTCAAGCCGGAACAATAACTAAATATTATGTAATATATATATATATATATATATATATATATATATATATATATATATATATATATATATATATATATATATATATATATATATATATATATATATATTTGATGAAAAAAGAGCTAGTTTCTTGCTCGAAACTGATAGCAACTCTTTTTGCACCACAATTTTCCTAAACTTCTAGAATACTTTACACAATTGGTTGCTGCAAATAAAGTTACATTGTGTGCAGTTTTAACTTTTTACTTAGATTTACCTACAGTTTTTCATTGCCCTCAAGGATAATACTTTTTTATTTTATTTAAACAGCTTTTTTTAATTTTTATTTACACAGTGTCGCATGTCTCAAAAAAAATTAAAAAATTAATTTCGGCATTCCGGCCTAAAATATTGTAATTCAAGCTGGAACCGGAATGACCTTAAAAGTCATAAATTCCGGCCGGAACGGAATTTATGACTTTTAAGTCTAGTTTAAAAGTAAAAAAATAAAAAAGAAAATGATTGAACTAAAACTTTTTTTAGTTAAAAGATAAAAAGTTAAAGCTATAAACTATTCAAGTTTGAATATTTTTTATAAAAAATTTATACCAAAATATAAATTAAGTGAACAAAGAGCTTAGAATCCTTCTAAGTGAAATATTTCTTCACGAAATTTCAAGAAACTTAATAATAAAGAGTTTAGAAGTCATAACTGGAAAATAAATTAGGATAAAGCAATCAAATTTTTAAAAAATGCTTTTTTTCAATAATATTTCATATTAATTTTTTTTTCACTAGTTTGTTAGCAATTAAAACACGTAACAAAATATTTAAGAAATTTCTCTTAAGAAAAAACTAAAAATAACAAAAATGAAAAAACAAAAGTATTAGAATTTTCTCGTAACCTTAATCCTAAGAAACAAAAATTTTTTAAATATTTTGTTTTTATAGTGACAACAAATTGCGTGAAAGTTGAAAATTGAGAAACTTTTAAATAAATGTTTGAAAAAAATCTTATATCCTTTTTGCGCATCTTTACAAGAGAAATTTCTGAAAAGAATTAATTCATTCTATATATACTTCCTTGAATAAATAAAAAACAGGAAGCTAGTTCAGTATTATTAAACCCACTGATATAAATAAATTACTATCTATTATACTTTCTTTAAGCGATGGCAAGATCTTAACAGCATTTCAACCATTGTTCTTAAACTTTTCGCTGAAGTTTAAATAAGTTTTGAAAGTCTTAAATTTCTCTAGTACTTTATAATCTAAATAACCTTTCCTTTGTTCCTGATAAATTCATTGATATTTTAAAATTTTCATCAGTGATCCAATCCATAAAATTTGCATCAGTGATACCAACCCATAAAAAGGACTCAAAACCATGGCCTAATATAGTAGGCCATGCTCAAAACATGAATTCAATACACGTCAATATCCCTAATAACAAATATCAGTTTTTAGTGATTATATGACGGCCAGTTTTTCGTTTAAAGCACTCCACTTCCCATGATGTCACATTGATGGTTTCTTTGCTTGTGGTTTGTTCATTGATCTCCATATCAAGTTTTTGATATAGTTGATCAAAATATTGTCATCAGAAAGTTACATTTCCATAGCATCTGCGGTAACGCTAATGATTGGTTTTCATTATTCAAAACCACACAAAATTATGGAAGTGGGTGCCCTACAAGGTTATGTATTTGGTCTTTTACTGTTTTCGATATATATTAATGATTTATTTTACTCCATAACTAATTTCATTATGCATCATTATGCTGACGAAATAATACTAACCTACTAACAATAAGGAAATCACTTTCACAACTTTGTAAAAAAGTTAATTCAGATCACTATTGCTTGTATGGTTAAATAGTAACCGTATTTCTTTAAACAGCATTAAAACACAATATATATTACTTTTTAACTTTCAAAAAAAGGATAATATGAATATTACAATTAATGATAAAACAATTTTTCTAAGTATGTAAAGTATCTTTGAGCAATTTCTTAATACAAACAAAATTTTATTTAAACAAAAATTTCACCCGAGCAAAGAGAATTTTGTCTTTAATAAAATACTACGTTTGTTAACATACTCTGAAATACAACATACTCTGAGATACAACATACTATGAGATACAACATACTATGAGATACAACATACTATGAGATACAACATACTATGAGATACAACATACTATGAGATACAACATACTCTGAGATACAACATACTTTGAAACAAATTTACGATACCCTCATCTAGTCTATTTCTCTTTTCATCTTGACAGTTTTTTCAATTACTTGTGATCAAAAAGTAAGTTTTCTTTAAAATTGTATTAATAGTTTACAATGTCACTGTGGACCAGAGTGAAGGCTAAGGTAAGTTGTTTAATAGGTCTGATTTTTTTTTCCAATAATTAGATATACATTAGTAAACACGATTTATGATTTTTAAAACTTCTGAGTATTTGGACTTATTAAATTATGTAAACAATGGCGGGCTGTTTACATAAAAAGTGTGCTGTTTGTCTCATAGTTTAGTAAAAAGTCATATTAAACTCAAAAAATTACTACTGCAATTGAAAGAAAGATAAAAACCTTTATCAGGAACCAATATAGTATAAAGGTAACTATTCTAAAGTGATCTTAAAAATTTTATTTGAAAAGGAAACTGGATAGAGAAGGTATCCGAGATAAAATTATATGTTTTGTGTTAATTTATGTTTTGTTATTTTTATTTTTAGTTTTTATTATTACTTTCCAATAAATACTTCCGTTTTATTTACATACATACATTTATAACTAAAAGTATGAAATTAAGAAACTAAAAGTTTTGTAATAGCATATAAGTGTTATTAAAAAAAACTTTTATTTTTTTTATGCTTGCATATACTTGTATGTACATTCATGTACATATACTTAGAGTACAAGTATGATATGGAGACATTTAAGTATATTGTATATAAATGTATATGTACATACATATATTGTATAAGTTATACATATATTGTATAAGTTATACAAGTTATTACACGTATATAACAACAACAACAACAACAACAAGAAGATATTTATTCTCCTTTATAAACCATACAATAGTATTAATGATAATAAATATAATAATAATAATTTCAAAAAAAAAAAAATTATGATTATATTGATTTTAGTAACTAAAAATAATTCATTAATATATATATATATATATATATATATATATATATATATATATATATATATATATATATATATATATATATATATATATATATATATATATATATATATATATATATATATATATATATATGTTACATATTATAAGTTGTATATGTATATAGATGTATTGTATAAGTTATACATTACACGTATATACATATACATTATATTTAATTATTTTAATGTATGTCATACTTAACTGCACATTTAAACGTGATTTCATAGAATGAATAGGTTAAAATCAACGGAACCTTTGGAAACTTATTGAGCTCCCAATAGAAGCACAATAGACGTAGAAAAGAAACAAGGCAATAAAAATAAAAGTTCAAAGAAAAAAATATTCGAAAATGGAAAGTAGTTAAAAAGAATAAAAATATAAAAAGTATCAATCTTCGTTTTTGAAGAAACAAAAAAAAATAATTTTTAAAATTTGATAATTTCTTAATTTTTATTAATTTATAGGGGACGATATGTGCTTGTTGAGTTTTATGACAACATTTTCTTTTTTATTTGTTAATTTTTATTTATTATGAACACTCTATACTTTTCTTGACTAAATGTGTATGTGTGTGTGTGTTTGTGTGTGAAGTGTGTGTGAGACACTTTTTTATTTGTGAATGTTATTGCAAAAAAAATTTGTTTATTTATTGTTGTTTTTTACCGAAATATTTATACTACTTTTATTGTTTTTGTTATGATTATTGATATTAAAATTATTACATTTATTTAATCATTGTAATTTTTTTGCAGTAGTTTTAGTTTACATGGTAGGTTGTTACGTTTTGTCGGTATATAACTGTTTGTAACTTTCTAGTTTGTGCATAATATTCAGTTGTAATTTTAAAATTGATATGGGTTAGTTATTATATAGTTTTCTTGTTATTCTTATAATTGTTAATTTATCATCATCATTATTATTATTATCATTTTTATTTGTATTATTAATAATATTTTATGATATTTACTTATGATCAGTTTTTAACCATTTTTAAATTACCTCGATTGTAAGATCTTTTATCGAAATATATATTTCATTATTGATCAATATATATTTCATTATATATATATATATATATATATATATATATATATATATATATATATATATATATACATATATATTATATATATATATATGTATGTATATATATGTATATATATATATATATATATATATATATATATATATATATATATATATATATATATATATATATATATATATATATATATATATATATATATATATATATAATGAAATATATATTTCGATAAAAGATCTTACAATCGAGGTAATTTAAAAATGGTTAAAAACTGATCATAAGTAAATATCATAAAATATTATTAATAATACAAATAAAAATGATAATAATAATAATGATGATGATAAATTAACAATTATAAGAATAACAAGAAAACTATATAATAACTAACCCATATCAATTTTAAAATTACAACTGAAATATATATATACATACAACTTATTCAACATACGTATCTACGTATAATGTATAACTTATATAAAACACGTATAAACATATACATTCATACACAATATACTTAAATGTCTCAATATATATTATATTTATACTGCAAGTAGCTTCCAGAGGATTTTTTTGTTTTATATTTATATATA